CATTCCTGCACGGATGGCAAGAGTGCCTGTATCTTGCAGTACTGGCTCAAAGGTTGTGCTATGTTGTCCCAGATATGCATTTCCTGCTCAGCAGGCTTCATGGAATGCAACTGTGAATGGTAGAGCTTTAGTTGCTTATTAGGTTTCCAGTACCCAAGTATTCTTTTTATATCATTCTGAACTCCATCTCCTGCAAAATATTTCAGGAACATCCTTGTAGAGCTTCCTTCAGCTCATTATTGACTGTAAAGAGTACTGGAATGGTTTATTCATGATTAGGGTGGATAGCTGGGTGCAGCTGTCAACCTACAAAAAGATCACCCTGGTAACACCAATCAACAAGCAGAGTAAGATGATCCACATACAACTGAAACCGTATAAATGTTGTCTTTCAACTGAAATATAGAAGCACAACACCCCAAACTCCTGCTGAAGTAGGACCTGTGAAATGTATCCTAGACATTGTTATTCAGTGCTGAAAAGTCACTGATTTTCAGTTTCCTTTATATAGTGGAATCTGTGATAGGGCCTACATGATAAAGGAGCTGTGAGAATTAATAATTAAAATAAGTAATTAGTTCAGCATTGTTTGGGACAAGTTACTGGGAAAAAGACAGTCACCATGCAAAATATCAAACATTGGATCCGTCTTTCTGTCTTCAACTGACGCTGCCCAGTGACCAGCGCTAAAACTTGTATCAGAATTTATTACAGCAGCAGGAGGGAGCGCTGGGTAGGAAGCCAGTTTCTCCTTACAGCCGTATGCACTGCCACTGCTGCACAGACATACAGCTGACACCGCAGGGCAGCTCTGAGATCAGCACAGCACTTGTCTCATACCTCACAGCCACAGCCACAGGGAGGACAGGGCAGAAAACGTATTCTGGGTAAGAGCTAGTGCAGAAATGCAGCTGATATTCCATGATGTCATCTGCAAATGGGCTCACAGGGACAGGGATAGACAGAAGGTTTGAAGTAAGATCCCTACACACTTTACCTGAGGATGATGTATGCCTGTAGTTCATGCCTGCAGTATTGGAATTCAGATGGTCCGTGTTACCGCTTACAAATCCGTCTAATATAGTCACATATAAGACAAGCAATCCAGCATTAGAAAGCAGAAGAAAACATGAAGAACAGTGTCGGCAGGACTCGTCTTTTCAACACCCTGCACAGAGCAGTGACACAACAGTCATGCAGAAGTGGTGAAACAGTGGATCACCTTTCAGTACATTTTCTCTGACTCAGTTCCTTAAAATCAAAACTGACAAAGACATGTCCAACACTGTGTCAGTGGTTTCCACTTACAGCCTAATCCGCTCAGTGCACTGCAGGCTTTGCAGCACTGAATGGGCATGTGAATGAATTACAAAACAACCCCGAATTCACCATTACCATATGTACATCCCCTAAAACTGAGACCTAATTGGATACTTCTCATAGCTGTGTCCTGAATCTCTGTAAATTCTTGCCCACATCTAGGAGGTTCTGTAATGTCTGTAGGCAACCAGAAAAGTGCACTGTCATGCTTCCTTAGTATGAAATATCGATTCATTGCTCTTGATGCTTTGCCTTAGTAACTGCACAGGAGTATACCCTGTATTGCAGCACTACACAGCTGGTATTACACACATTAATACACATTCTGCATCTTTCCCATAATGTTATGAAATTAAATTGCTCAATAGCTCCACATGTATAGTAAAGGCACAAGTTTGAATACACAATTATTATCAACTCCTTTAACAGTATAAAAAAGTGCTTTAAATTCAACATGAATGTAAATTCACCATTAATGATGTAGGACATGAACAATGTGAATGATGTTCTGCTGTCTTCCTACCACTTTTTTAAATAGAACAGATCAACTTTTGAGGGCAGTGCCTCTTCTAATGATACTCAACGGAACCAGCTATACATACATATGTAAATACTGTTTCTTCTATATATGGAGATATATCAGTCTCTATAGAAATTGCCCAAATAATTTAATATAGTATGACCTAATTTCAATACAATTGCAATCATCCTATAGAATTTGTGTATTCTCCAGTTTTTATTAATTTAGTTTCTAATTTTGGTAGAATATATTCTTGTTATACTAGTAGCACCAAGCACTGTAGGAAGTTGAGTGGCAAAATTAAAAATGAGAATGGTGTGCTTCTTTATATATATATGTGTGTGTATATATATATATATATATAGTCTTAAAATAGCAACTGGACAAATTCTGCACACCTCCAGCTCTCCAGTTCTGTCCGTAGCACCAGCACAGGTGCCATTGCATAAGGGAAGGAGGGCTGGAAGACAAGAGACCAAGCGTAAATTCTTTCTTCACGACTGAACGGAGGTCTGGGGGATCTCCTGATTTACAGATGCTCCCCTATCCCTGTAAATCGTTGGCAAGCCCACAGGAAGGTCACTGAACTACTACTGTATTTATACTGAACACCAGTTCTTGGAGAGAACTGCTTGGAGATACTTCTTTCCCTGCCCATGTATCTCATGAGTTGAGGTCAGTTTATGCTGAATATTGGCTTTTACCCTAAAGACAGTACAAAATATGCCAAGGTAGGATGTATCAGATTGCTTACATCAAATTGTACAATACACTACTTGAATTACTTTTCAGTTTTACACTTTGCCTCTACCGAATACAGTCATATTTTCTGGTATCTTACTAAGTTGTCACACAAGCATGCTACTGAATGTAGTGCTTGACCACAGGCAGATCCCCTAAAGGAGGATGTAGGAACCTTCATCGTCAAGTATTTTATAAGATAGAAACCACTTAAGCACATTTGGAACTCCTGGAGTTCATCTTTAAGTTGTGTAAGGCTTCTTAGCTTTCTCCTCCAGTCGAAAGGGGAATGACACACATACAGATATCCCACTGTTGTGGATATAAGATCATACAAGATTATGACTCTGTAATGTGAATTTATCACAGTCCTACATGTACCGCTACCAAGTACAAATACAAATTATGAAAAACATCTGTAAGTCCCTATAAGCAATTTGTCAGAATACTTTAAAGCACATGTATAATAAATGAAGAACACATGTTTCATAGGAACCAAATGAAACTAGAGCTGTATGAATGCCTTGCCAGAGACTTGAACAGCTGTGGACATCACCGCTCTCCCTCTATCCCGCTTTAAAAGGCATTGTTTTCCTTTTAGCTTGACAGGTGATGTTTACAATACTGTCAGTCTTGCCGAATGACAGATTGCCCAAAATATCTCTGTAGACCATTTCCATCTCCTTAAATGCTGTCTTTTGATTTTCCTTTTAGATATTTGGCACTTCCTGCTAAATTATAAAGGGTCCTCACCACACCATCCTTGCCAGCTTCTGAAAAGACATCAAACACCTACCGTCACTTACTTATGAAAAAACATCAGGTTGCATACTGTACAGTATTTTCTGTCTGGTAGCTACAACTGGGAGATGGACAGTTGTGTTCATCTACTGTTCTGTTCAGAGGGTGCACACACCAACACACCCACAGGCATACATCTTTCAAGGTTCTGAAGAGGTTTGTCTGAGCCTGATGCCTCAACAAGGCTATAGATTTCTTGTCTGAACAGAATGTAAGATGGCAACTCCAAAGTCTCTTTGCTATGATGTTTTTCATCTCTGACTAAGGTCACAGCTTTAGTATTATTCAGAATGATACATTTCTTTACACAGAGAGAAACTTAGCAATCAACCTTTCCCCCCAGTAATACCAGTTGAATGTTGTACCTCAATGTAAAACACTTTTCAGTGTCTACAGTGATTTGCCAAACCTGAGAAAGGAGCAACAACTGTTTTTTGACAACTTTGTGTTATAAAATATGTTGTTAAATATCGAGTAACCTTTCAAAATAAGAACAGTGTTATATTCAAGAAATGTGAATGGATTCTAAAGATTCTATTACTCAAGTCAATCTAACATGCATTATAATACGTAATAAACCTATAGTTTCACTTTGTTTTCTCTGCTTTAAGAGGTGGCAGGAATGTAAAATACTTGCTTCAGCACTGGACATATGCAATCACCATTGTATATTTAAAAAAACAACCTGCTGATTATAAGACAGCTTAAATAGCCCCAAGCGTCCCTGAAGAGCTACTGTGTGCTGTGCAAAAGCTGAATAATCCTCCCCATGTCAGAAGGTGACTCTTCAGCTGTTCAGGATCATGAGCTGATATGCTACGAATCGTAAAAAAAGGTTCAAAACACAAGAACATACATTTAGGTAAAGATCACTGTGATGGTACTGGAATTAATCTGCAAGAACTGACAACACTGAAACCAATATAGCAAGAATGATTCAAGGAATTGTAGCTTTTACTTAAAACCAAGAGAAAGAACACAGCAAATTCATGCAAAATAAATACACTGGGAATATGAATTTTTTACACAGTATTTGGCTCATTTTTCTTCTTTTACAAAGATAACTGGAAAAAAGGAATATGTTCAAACACACTTTTTATTTTAATACATACTGAATGCAGTATTCATATAACACCAGAAGTGCAGTCTGTGCAAAAGTACTCCAAATCATTATTGCTCAGTGATCTGAATAAATAACATATTTATGAAGGCACATTGATAGAAGAAAAGCTATTTCAATCATCTCTGTTTGATTTAATCACCAAAATAGGGGAATTCACTTTGGCCCCTGTGCTTAGAAAAATATGTCTTTGTCTTTCAAAATCTCAGTATTTTTAATATTTACTCTTAGTATTTACATGGTAGTTTCTTCCCATTCAAGCTCCACATCACCTACAAAATAAAGATACATTATGTCAACCTAATTTGTAAAAATAATAACTAAATGGCAGATAACTACTGTGACTGAATTTAAAAGATCTTGCAAGTAAAAAAGTGGAACAATCATTAAAAGTTGAGCAATCATTATTACCATGGGAGAGAGACTAAAGAGCAGCAAAATGTTAGAAATTTACACTTCTGAAGCCAAAAAATGCATGTTGGAGTATTTGTTTCTGCTTCTTAATCTGGACAAGTCAATGCACCTGCTATGAAAAAAAATAATATTTGAGACAATCTCTATCTCCTTACCTTCCATGGCATCCAGAGAGTCCATCTTTTGCAGTGCTGAGTAATTTACAAAACATATGGGCTGACTACTTCCCTTGCTGGTCAACAGATCCAATACACACTGATGCAAAAATATATATTGTGCCTGTAAGATGTGAATTTAAAGATGTTTGATTAGAAGAAAAATTTACTTTTAATAAAAAAAATTAATTTTTTTGTATAACATTTAGATATTTTCAAAGTAACTGCAGTGTAACTCAGCAAATTCAGTACTTCAATGATACCATATGTACCTTAGCTGATTCATTCAGAATGGGGCATAATGCAGTAAAATTTGTCAAAACATGTTAATTCTTATGCACAGTAAGCTATAGGAAATTAGACTAATCATAATTGAGATTAATAGGCTGTTCCACAAGTTTCTGTAAAGGTTTCTGCTAGGAAAAATTGTTTGATTACTTTTTTTGCCACTAGATTCAGACTGAAGAAACTGAACCACAAAAATGTAATATTTAGATAAGGAAATTTTCCTGTTTCAAGCATACAGAAAACCAGCAGGGTGCACTCAAATACAAAAGTTCAAGTAAATCTAGATGTTCTAGGTGCATGCACCACTGCTCAGAGAAAAAATACATTCTTTTTAGTGATACTTCCTAGACTAGCATAATTTTTAACAGACTCTAACGCAAAGAGTGGGCAACTAAAGTTAATTTGACACTTCCCAGGACAAAAAATAACTCTGGGTAGTGGTTGCTGAAAAGAGAAAAATTACAAAAAAAGCAGTGTAAGAATGAAATAAGGAATGAAAGAAAAGAATGAAAACTGACAGAAAAGAAATGGATTAAGCGTATCTTCACATGGAAGTACTGTGTATGTAGATGCAGAAAATGAGCCAGATCACAGTATCACAGATCTGTTTAGGTTGGGAGGGACCTTGTGAGATCACCTAGTGCAACTCCAACTGCACAAGCTGGGCCAGCTAAAGCACATTGCCCAGGACCTTGTCCAGATGGGTTTTGACATCCTCCACAGATGGAGATGACCAAAATAACTTTAACTTCCTTGACTTTTGCACAGGTAAATACAACAGTGTAATTTTTCTGTGTAATAATTGCTATTTTGTTTCAGAACTGCCATCAGTTTTCAATCCAAGTGTCTCAGATTTATAAGATAAATTTGTCTACATGGGTATGTTTTAGGGTCACAGCTCCAAAGCAATTAAAACAGACTTTCACAGGCCCCTGAAGTACACAGTACCAGTCCACTTTTCAATAGCTTGCTTACTGAAGCAAAAGCATAGCATTACTTCCAACAAGCTTTGTAGCTGACTTGGAAAGATGCTAAACTTTAACAGATCCACTGGACAAATATGGATTTCTAGGATGAAAGTCTTAAGTTTCAGTGGAGTTTAGACGGGTTATTCCAGTTCAGAAGGCAGACTCTGAAAGCCCCATATCTCATGCATTCATACAGCTACTTGTGACCGTGTGGCAATGAAAATCTTCCTGGGTTTGCCAGAGGAGAGCAAATCAGGATACATGGGGAATGTATGTGAGACAAATTATTTTCCCAGTTACCATTAATGACATTGCTAATGATTTAGTGCAAATTGTCCCTCACATAGTTTTGATCCACGTGAACCAGCACTATCTCAAACAATTTCTTGGTGTGTTTCAGGAGTTACTACAGATGATGGGTCATTCCCTACAGAGAGCTCGGATGCGACTATCTTTTGGGAAGGGAGTGGTAACTGCAGAGGTGTTTAATTGTAGAGATGTGGGCCATTCCGGGCCCATTGGCTATAATAACAGAGAATGACTCTTGGTAAAAGGAAAACTATTTTTAAACTATAATCAAGCAAAAAACAGGACTGAGAGCAACAAGTGTTTATTTATTTTACTTATAGATCTTAGAGACCGTTTCACTGAGGGATCTCTAAACTGAGTTCTGGGAAGGAATTGCTCCCCTCTTCACATCTTCTCTGCTGCACACATAAGATCTGAATTATAGACTACTAAACAGCGTTTTATAACAGAACTGTCAGAATAGCTTAACTACTGAATCTGCCATAAAACTTTACAAGATTTCATTCTCTCTGGGCAAGTTTTAGTGCTGATCTGCATTTTGTAGTCTTTGAAACATGATCTAGAAATGGCCTGTACAGAGAACAACCAGTCTCAGGATATTGCAGATAGCATATAGATCAATACTTGATCTGTTTGGAAATCAGAACCATGAGACCATTTTGTTCCATTGCATTTTGGCACACATTTTTCTAGCCTTTGCCAAAATATGCAAATGAGTAGGTTCGCAAAAATAATACACATTTTAGAAATGTTCACTAATCTTACTGTTTTAAGATTTTATTTTGGGGTGACTTCCCATTAAACTGTCTTCCAGCCTTTGCCTTGTTTTCAGATGATTCTACTTCTAGTCAAAAGTATAAAACAACAGTATACAACAACCAAAAAATAGTATTACCAGAATTCATCATCACAGGAAAGTCCTGGCAATTGCTTAGCTGCATCAAGACTTCAAAAGGAAAAATTGAAAGCAAATGGTAATCAGACAGCACCTTACAAGAAACTGCATGATATATTATCACCAGAAGATTTCACAAAATCTTTCTGAAGTGCAGTTGCTGAAGAAAGGTTAACCTCTCTCTGTATATTCTGGCACACTTTTCATATATTCTGACATGATATAGAACAGCAGAATTGCATTCCTAATGCAACAAGTCTCCTTACATTAAAATCAGTTTAAATCCATCAGTCAGGTGGAAGTTCATCCTGACTGAGAAGTTGGTAGGTCATGCTGTAGACCCAAAGGATTCAGGCAGCAGCTCTGTGTTTGATCTGGCCTTCAGGAGACTGGATTTCCATTTCACTGGGTGTTTAGGATCAGCTGTAAATTCTGCTACTACTGTTTTGCAAATACTCCAGGAACAGCAGAGCTCTTCCTTACTAGCAGATCATCACTAACTTATATCTGTACTCAATAAGTCTATCAGAATGCAGTTTTTTAGACCCAAAACCCACCACTGCCTTGATTCTGAAGTCTGTGCTTAATTCTATATCTGTTATTTTATTTGAAGCAATGTAAAAAGAATCAAGGAATCATCACTGAGGTCAAAGATAAATGAATATGTAAAAGTTTGGAGGAGTATACTACATATACACTCAGACACGAAAATACAGTTACGTAGTAAGTAAAGTCAAATTAATCAGTGCATGAGCAAATCTGTTTTTTATTTAAAACACCCAAAACTTGAAATTAACTTTCTCAAAGTCTGAGAAATTATGATTTAGGTTCTAAAAACGAAACATCTCAGCACTCTTTTCAGCACTACGCTGGCCAAATATAACCAAATAGAGTAAAAGGACACATTTGCACAATGTTTGAAATCAGAACAGAAGCAGGATATGGCAGAAAATGTATTAGGCCGCTGATTGTTATGAGCTTTCTGGTCTCGTTTTGTAGATCAGATGACTAACTTTGTAACAACAGGAAAAGAGAATAGATAAATATGTAATTCTTACCAGATTCTGTACCATACACATTCTTTCGCTTCTTAACTCAGCTACAAGTCCATAGATATCCACAAAATCATGGTCATTAACATGTTGGGTTAAATGGTCAAGCGCAATGTAGACACCTGTTCTTCCAACGCCAGCACTGCAAACACCAATCACAAGATAAAATACAAGATTTATGTTAATTTGTTTAGTATGAAAAATTTTCTTACAAAATTCTGGTTAGATTAAGTTTACTGTGAAAAGAAAACTCCAGAAAAAATTAAATTTTTCCAGTATTTGTGTGTCTCCTTGCTGAATGGAATCAAGCGAAATCTGTATTCGAGCCATATTCTGCTTTTGATTTTACAAAGGGTTGCAGGGGACATTGCAGTGGTCCTACAGCTTTCCTGTGAGCTAGGGCTCACTAATTGAAAGAAAAAAAGAAAAAAAAAATCACAAGATTTTCTGAAATCACAGCTGGATTCTGTGATGCTTTTGCTATTTGAGACAAAACAACATGGCATCTCGCAAAACATTTAAAAGAAAATATTTCTGAAAGGAGGATGTAGATAGTGGTGTTTCATTTCAAGGTTTGAAAACAAATAGGATTTTCTCAAAATCATTTTCAGACTTCTCTGCAATTAGTGTAATAAATGCAGAGTACAGCACTGCAGAAAATCAGGAAATGTATAGCAAAACCATCTTGAACCTGCAAGATGTAATGAGCAGAAAGTAATGAATAAGCTTCCTGGATATGAGAAAACATACTGCTGCTTTATAACTCCAGGAATTTGAGCAGAGGTGGACTGTCTGGCCCATGCTACTCCTTTATGTATCTGTTGTGAAAAGGGGAAGGATTTATTGCAGAGGGGCTGCAGAACACAGAATTGTCCTCAAACTGTGAAGACCGTGTAGTTGTCTCCTGTAATAGTCTCTCTGGACCCTGCAGTAGAGGGAAATGTCAAACTGTCAATAACATCGGTATCAAATAAAACGAGGCTTTATCACCCACTGTTGTTGGCACCTGTAGGACACTGGGGACAAATAAAAAGAACTCCCATGCATTATAACTGGACAGTTAGGGAAGAGATTTGTGCCATCAAACCCAGCTTTTCCTTCCACATATTTCCAGACTCACACTGTGTGAGAATGAGGTGAGGAATAAATCACAGACCTCTGTGCCCAGATCACTATTTTGGAGTGTGCCTGCTCATTTGGTGGGAACACTGACCTGCATGTATCATGCAGACACACCACCTTCCTGAAGACATAGCCTTCCCCACACACTTACTCTTTGAAATAGCTCTTTAGGAGTGTTGAGTATGAAATCAGCGGGAGCTATGACAGCTGAACACCTCAAACCACCAGACCATTTATTTAAGAGCCTAAATATAGGTTTTAGCTGTCTACAGGCATCTGAGCTTGAAATCTGGCATATGCAAACCCTTATTCCTATTTGTCATTCTCTGTGGCTCCGAGATAGTTTCTTCCTCTTGTGATGACATGCACATTTTAAATACAATTTTTAATACTTACTTCTTAAGAAGAGCTACAATTATGATTAAAATAATTAAAACCAACGTGCCAGTTGTTACTCCTATTCTTACAGTAAAAAAGGAAAATGGAGATAAATCCAGAAGTACCTTATGGTAATTGTTGGAGTAACTATTTCACTGACATCACCTCAATGGGATTTCCACGAATGGAAGAACAGACACACTTTGGCATTTTAGCTCCTAGAAAGACTAACTGACTAAGGAGAACTGTCAGAAAAGCCTTTACTGCTGTCTTTACTAGAACCATACCTGTGCGCTCAGTTTTCCTTGTTCTTCTTTTAAGTTCCCTGAGCATTAATATGCACCTGAAATCATAAGACGATGATTTGGTGAAGAGGCTTACCTGCAGTGAACCACCATCGGCGTACTATCATGTGCTCGACTTGCACGGACAAGTTTTACAAAATGGATAATTGGTGCGGTTGTTTCAGGGACTCCGTGTTCTGGCCAAGAAGTAAAGTTACACTGCCGTACCATCATGCAGTCTCCATGCTGAAAAATATAAAATAAGTCAGTTTTTGCAGAAGAAATGTGACAGAAGATCCAGTAAGCTGCCTGTAACCTTCTCAGCTATTTCACATAAAAAAAGCAAGTCAGAATAGGATAATAATTATAAGATATACTTGTGTTGAGGGATAATGTGTTTTGCACAAATCTTATGGCAGTTTTTTTGATAAATGGCATCAAGTCCACCTTTCAGGTAGTATTAATGACTTCAGAAGTCACTTTCCATCTGACTTCATTCACTGTTCCAATGCGATTTGTAGATTACAGGTTGAACTTTCTAAAGCTTGTTTAGAAGTTTAGTGAACAGGGATGACAAATATATTTAGGGAAAAGGAATCATTCTAGGACTGATCTAATGTAGTAAAGGCAAACACATATACACTAGTAAAACCCATACATTTTCTAAGTGTTTGGTGCCCTCTCAATCAGAGCAGCAGCAACAGTAACTCAAAGAAAAGACATGGTTATGATCTGGCATCTAAATTAGCTATGAAGGACATAAGAATAAAAGCACAGCATCATGCCAAAGGCCTGTCTAGACCAATATCCTGTTTCCAACAGGAGTCAAGGAAAAATCTTAGGGAAAATTTTAAAACTTGACAACAATGTTTCTGTAGTTGCACAGAATGTCCTTTCCATTCTTAATAGTTTATGACTTGTGAACTGCGTCAGTCAGAGATGGTATCTTGAAATTTAATAGTTCTTGTCAGAATTTTCTTCTACTAATCTCTGCAGATTTTATGACGTCCTGTAGGCTTTTAGGATTCACAATATTTTGCAGCAAGGAGTACCACAGTTTAATCAACTGTTGTGTAATGAACCAGTTCCTCTTTAAAAAAATTATTTTGAACCAACCACTTGCTCTTTTTGTATTGCAGGAAACAGCAAACAACTGTGAACAATTAGGTGCAGCAACTATTTTGGGTCAACCTTTTTAAAACTGATAAACATAAAAACAAAAAGAGAAGTGATTTTGGATGCAATATGGCAATAACTGTGAATGGTTTGTTTCACATAAGCTTTTTACCTTCACTGGATGATCATCAAGAACCCATCTACTTGTGAATGGAAGATGTTCAGTCTTAGAGCCAGCAATATGGTACATTTAACCACATGCTTATAAAGGCTGTGGCTTCTTGCACAGGGTAGTACGGCTATAGTAAATGGATCACTTAGTCAATTCAGGTTATGTTTAGTTTTTTTTTCAGCTTCACTCTGGTTAACACAGGTGACTTCTCACTTTGCTGGCATGTATTTTTATTCCAAACTGTGCCTTTTCCAGTCTTGCTTACTCTGTCTTATTTTAGCTGAAAAAAGTTGACCTTCTCTCACTCATTTTAAAATCTTCAATTGTCCTGTACTATGTGCACAACATATCCTTATGGGGTGACTGCTGAGGCAATCCCCATTCTGCTATGTTCCTTTTGTCATGTGTACAAGCCACAGGATGCTAACGCATGTATTTGGATAACCAAGTCCAGGTCCTAGGATCTGGCTGCACCACATACAACACAGGACAGTGTTGGGAGTGCAGAAGGCAGCTGACTTCATCTTGGGTCATTATGCCCAGATTGCTTTCTGAGCCCACCTACTGCTCTGACTTAATGCTGGGTGCTAATTTTTCCAAAGAGTGGAAACTATAGTTGTGGGTCATGACAAAGATGAACATTTATGATGTACCCCCACCCCCCTTCCCAGCACAGAGTGGGAGTAATACTGATGATTCTCATGTATATTGGGTGAATCTCCCGGGGGTGGAGGCCAATACAACTGGTGGTACAATGAAAAACAGCTGCGCTGCACCAGAGAATCTTGCCCTTTAATCTGAGAGGGATACATTCAAGAGGATTTGTCTGATCCCAGAATGGTTAGAATTACTCCTTTCTAGAAGAGACAACTGAAGTGTCCAAATAGAAACTTCACCTCCCACCAGACCAGAGGTTCAGTAATCTTGATAGGCCCTTCATAGCATGTCAGCCACATATCTGAGATTTTTGTGATAGAAACTGGAGGAAATTCTCAGGAAAAAAAACCCCAACCCAAAACCAGGAATGAAAACAAAATGCAGGAAAACCAAGTGGTACAATGCATATGCATTAAAAGAGTAAAAGAATAATACTGAGGTACAGTTGGGTGGGGTGGAGCACATCTGATGTTCTTTGAGGTGCTGGATGGTTTTTATTAAATCAGCTTCCAATTCTGACTTACCCTTTCAATTTTTAGATCTCTGATGGTCCAGTCTATTTGAATATCTTCCATCAATTTAGTAATCACTATATCCCCAAACACAGTAACTGGTTTATTATCTTCTGGCCAGTATTGATGACATCTTATCTGCAGGGAGATGATTATTAATTAACAACAATCATATTATAATCTTGACAGAAACTGCATGTGGAATCTCCAGTTATATCAAATGCTATTAAATGGTACACTGGTAACTTACCCGTCCTTTTTCAAAACACTGCGTAAGCATCACAAGTGTTTTTGCTCTCGTCTCCCACACCATTCTCCAGAAATCTCCCACTGTTCCTGGTAATGGTCCCTGAGTTGCAATAAACTCATTTGGACATAAATAACCCTAAGAAAAAGAAACTATTTAATACATAATGGCTGGCAAGAAAAAAAAACGTTTGCATGTGACTCATAGTTGTGCCTGTAGGGATCACCTCTAAGGCTAGAACCTTGTCAGACCTACTAAACAAATTGACATAGACCAGGCTAACCATTGCATGGTAGATTCCATTGCCTTGGAAATCTAAGGAATTAATGGCATTTTTTCCACTGTGTAGATCAGTTATGAACCAATGCTCTAATAAAGTTTGGGAAATGCCATCCTAATAGAAAAACAGAGAAATTACAGGGACATCAGGTCAGCAATTCCCATTTAAAAATATCTAACCCTTCATATTAGCCTTACTGCAGATCCAGCCTGAGGCTACCAAGAACTGTGCCAGGAAGAGGCCAACAACATGGAATTAGATAGTACTAAGGAGTTGTGGAGTCAGGGAAACAGCTAAGCAGCAGTCTGAGAACTAGCACAAGCTACGCATCACACTGATGACATCATCCTTCCAGTGATCCTCAGGGATCTGCTGTAACTTAGGGATGGAGCTTACTCAAACAAATGATCTCTGATAAAAAGTCTTCAAGAAACCTACTGTAGGAGTTGACTTTTATTTTAGTATTGACTTTTGCTGCTCAGTTCATTTATAAATTGATGTAAAACTTGGGGAGAAGTAGTTTTGTTGAAAAAAAATCTGTGTAAAAGCTGTCAGTGCATGGGTTCTCATGGATCTGTTTCCTCAAAGAAACTAAGCCTACCCTACAGCACTCTATGTAATACAGGTGGTCTAAATTAACAGCAATAGCAATAATAGCAATAAGTTTATGCTCTAGAGCTAGCAGTCTGTAATATCACAGAGTTCTGCTTATTGCTCAAAACACCTGACACAGTGGTTTATAGCACACCGAAGCTCCCTGTTGGAATTATAGCCCTATAATTCACAGCTGCCTGTTACTTATTCCATCTACAATATACAGAACAGGTGGCAGTGAGAAACTATGTTAATCCTCCCTAGTTTAACAGTGAGGTGAGAAACTGTAATTCAGGGATGTAAAGCTCACAGTTCAGTTACTGACTTTTTCTTGTTTAACCAAGGAAAGTAAAAGTAGCATCCAGGTTCTCATTTGGTAAAACTATATCCAAGACCTCTCTTTTCTTCTCTTTATATGTATGCATATGTATGTAGACCTAGAAAAACAGGTAGGTACACACACGCACACATATATTGTACATTTACAGCTATATGCATTTCTATATTTACACATCGACGAATGTGGAAAGTGAGAGTGTATAAAGGGCAAAGCCTTAGCCCTGAGAAATGGTAACATTACAGCTGTCTACTCATTGATGAGCAGTAACCTAAAGTGAGATGACTGTGTGCAGTAAAGATGTGAAGATTCTCATCAGGGAACACTCTGCAGCTGGCTTTTGCTGCAGCTTTTTGGAAGTTGCTGTTAGTTCTCCCTGCCTCAGCCGGGGCATGGAAGTGGCAGGGAGGGCAAAGACCGGGCCACGTTCAAGCTGCCTGCTCCCCTCCGCAGTTCTCTGTACAGTCCCAGCCCCAAGTAACAACATGGCATGGCTCTTCCTTTCTGCTGTCAGAATCAGAACATCCCACATGAAGTGAATAAATAGCTTTTGCTAATGAGAAAGGAAGATGATGTTCGGACACCCATTCTCACTTCTTATTGCTTGTTCCTTGTGCATCTCTGTCATGTGGAAATAACTATTTCTACCTGCCGTTGTGTCATCTGCTTAGATTACAGTCTGCACGTCTTGCCGTGCGTTTGAATAGTGCTTAGTGCAAATCAAGTCTTGACCTCACCTGAGACCACCACCCACTTCTACAGCAAAATAATTGCATAATTATGAACTTCAATGGGAAAAATTGAGACTGGCAAGACTGGAGACAGAAAAACATAGACAAAGAATTTAGTGAGAAGACAATTAGAAAATGGAAGGTCTAGGAAGAAAGCTGAGGATCAGAAGAGTTATAATACTAATACTATACTAATACTGATACTATAATACTAATTTCTTCTTCAAGAAGCCTATTCGCATTTTCCTCTATCATGATTTTCACAACATAATAAGAGGCATACCAGTCCCACCCACCAAAATTATTAGCCAGTTCTATGAAACTTTTCAGTTCAGTTATCTTTACATTGTCCATTTTGTATATAATAGCTCCAACTCCTGAACCTAGAGACAAAATAATGCCTATCTCTAAACAATTGACCCCAGTGGGATTTTCATTATCATCTTTAATGCTAATGGTATGATGCAGTTTATAGAAACTAATTTGCTGGACACAGTTTTGATTACTACTGAAAATCATTGCTAAGCAATGAAAATAGGATAATTTATATTTTTAACTAGTCATGTTCAACTCCGTAAGAGTCACAGAACCATGCCATGGCAACAGCAGCTGTAGTGAATGAAAGAAAAATTAGAATCCTGTTCTTGCAAGTTATTTTTTGACTCTTTATTCTACCAGAAAACAAATATAGTAAAAGCGTTAGAGACATTCTACTTACAGACACATAGCTGGCATTAATGTAGTCAGATCCGGGAATACCAGCATCAGGCATCAGCTTTACTCTGTTGTTATTATCTATCATGGAAATAAAGTCCAGTTAACGAAAAGATTTGTTCAAAAACCTTAGATACATGTAACAAGTTTTCCTGGAGTGCTAAGAAATCAAAAAGAATGTTGTTTTTGTTACTCTAACAATACTTGACATAGTGGAACACTAATTACAAAGGCAATTTAACCAATTTCCATTACTGTACGGTCATGCTTTAATGTTACAAACATATTTTAATATAATACTTTTCTATTAAAATGGTGAACATGCCAAAACCTCAAATTTGATGTATGTACGGGTGGATCCTCTGCCTAAAGGTAGCCAGTGTACTTTAAGCCATGCTGTTATAGCACAGGCAACCTCTGTGTGAATCAGGCAGCACGGTCAGGGGTCTGACAATCTTTCCTGTATATTTGCTGTCCAGGTCACAGCTTTGAGCCTGATCCTGGTACTTTTACATATTTCTACTTCTTTTACATAAGGTAAAATCATTATTACAAAAAAAAAAAAAAAAAAAAAGGAGCTTTTCCCATTTGGGAAAGTAAGTAAATGCTGAAACAAAACATTCCAAATTTTGATTTTTGGTCCTCAACTTAGTTAAAAAAAAACCCCAAAGTTAAAAATTTATGAAACTCATCTGTTTATATTTCAGTGTGTGTCACGATTATAGTTTTTTTAGTGACTAACTTAGAGTATAGTATGTCTTGAACAAGGCAGTAGATAGCAGGAACAGCTGCTCTGAAAAGTTAATAGCACAGAATGTAGCATTATTAACCAAGGAATGCCATGCTCCCCATCTCACATCACAGCTAATGCCTAAAATAATAATGACATTTCTTGTCTTATTAACTGAGAAATGAAGCAGTGCTGAGTACAGAGAGACAGACTCCTGTCTCCTGTGATAAAATCTAGCCTTGGCTTATAAGTTATCATACAGTCACTCTGATCTTCTGTGGAACCTTTGCAGCACATGTACAAATATCCACAAGAAAGCATACCCAGGCACCCGAGGTAGCTGAATGCACAAACATGTGGATTTTATATGTTTAAAGAAATTACTTTTCACTAAAGGGGAAAAACCCAAGGAAGAATGTTAAAGAGTTTGCTACATGGCTTGAATTACAAAGCTAAGAAACTATTGAGGCTACAGTTTCTTGCACCTGCATATTAAAGCTTGTGAGAGCAAGTTGAAAGCTACTTGCAAATAAAACTGTCTTTAAAAAAACACAATGAAAGGACAGATTACTTGACAGAAAATTATTTCATAATGTGGACATGATTGTTCTGCCATTTCAAAGACAGATCAAACAAAAGTACAGTTGCATTCCAAGCATATGCTGCACGGTCGAAGGTAGAGAGCAAAACGGGTATCGGTAAATACACATACATGGCTTTATGTTTGGGAAACGATTCTTAGACCTGTTCCATGGCAGATCAGCATCAGTTGAAGCGAGGTCTTCAAGAAACTTGGGAAGTTCCTGTAGAAGAATAAATGTTTGTTGGCAAACCTTTGCATTTCACGTTCGGGGAATATAAAAAAATGACACATTCACTGCAGTAAGAGGAAGAATTCTTTAGTTCTGCAATGCAGTGCATTTCTAAGAACAGCTGGAAGCATTACAGAGCATTCCACCTCACAGTCAACCCATGTTACACCAGCAACGTTAGATGCAGCACTGCAGACAATGCTGGCAGGTTGAACAATTAAAGCTTACATGAACTTTCACCTTTACAAGTCTGGATAAAGCCGGCCTATCACCTTCTGCAGTTCTTTTCTGTCTTCTGAAGTCACATACTTGGTTACTGTGCCCTACTGCCTCAGCCTTACTCTTGAATAATGCCTTTCCCTGATGCCTGCAGCTTGCCACAGCATGAGAATTGATGAGAATGTAATTAAGTTGAGACAACTGGCAATTAGCTATTGTTCACGGGACTGTTTGTGAAAGTGGTGGGAAGAGTTATTTTGGGTTCAACTGCAGTTTCATAACTGGTCATTAGGACTGTTACTGAAGGGCAGAGATGGAGAAATCATCCATATTGAGGAAGTTCTTTGAAGTATATAAAGGAAGTATATAAAGGAAGTTCTTTATGTATATAAATAGGTAAAATTTCCCAAGCTGAATAAAAGAGTTGAGACAACTTCATAACTTGTTAATGGAGAAAAAGTATTAACATGATGATCTCTTAGTGGTGATAAGAGAATAGAAAACTCCTAGAAAAGCTAGAATTTAGCCAGAATTTCTAAGTTAATAACTACATTAAATGTAATAGATTTTTCTTGTGTTTGACAAATGTTATATGCCAGTCTATTCAACATCTAGCTAAGAAACAATGAAGAGATCTACCTATTGCTTTGAATAAGTACAATACAAAATTTTGCCACTTCTGCTGTGTAATGCCTTCAAATTTGTCTTTTAATATGGGGAGCTACTCCCAAAAGTGGGGCAGATAGCCCTAGTATCAGATTCATAGTTAAATTATTTACAACTGCTCTTTTGCCCAGGTATTTGAGACTTCTTCTCTTCTATAAATAAAATTTAATGAGCAACTATTAGCAAATAAATAAATACACTAAAGAGGTAATGAGAAATAGAAAAGGCGGGAGTGTTTTTTATTCCAGTGTTTTTTCTTTTATTGCTAATTCAAATATTTTGTCAGCCTTATTTGATGGATTCAGATATTAAGAATAATTTAACATGAGCATTAACAAATTGGCGTACTTTTAAAACTGATGTAATAAACCAAGTCAATAAATCATCTAATCTGATATCCTGCTTTGCACAATGGATAGTGTCTGACATATAAAAGAGAGCTCAAAACCCTTGAACAGTACTATAGGCAACATTATCCCATGAGAAATTTGTTTCTTTCACCATTTGACAAAAATCCTGTGGCCTGAAGCAAGAGGGCTACGTCAATCCTATAATCATATCCTCGATAATTTAACTGCAGGTTCTTCTGAACAGAAGGGTGGGTTTCACAATGAAAGCAAAGGATTTAGAGACAAGGGACCTGACTTCTTTTCCTAGTTCTGACACATATGTCCTTGGAGAAAGAATTGCAGAAAACAACTAGATGCTGATCTCCCTTTGAAAATTAACAAGGGTCTACATCTCATCCAGGGCCTTAAACATATTTCTAAATATCTATGTTTCCTAGGGATGAAAAGCCTATGATTATGCCTCTTCTAGAAAGGAAGTTTCTGACTTAAGATCACCTTATAAAGAATGGCTGACTTTACATTTATATCTGTATGTTAAAAATTAAAAAACATTGCTAACAGACATGAAATAAAAAACTAAATGAAGGACTGTAATATACTGTAGAAAAATATATTTAAAGGCACTTATTATTTTAAAATCTTGTCTTTCAATCAACCTCTGCCACACTGAAGGCACATTTCTTTTACCTGTTCAGTTGCCTCTGCCTTTTGTCTCAATAATCCCTTAGAGAAGTAAAGCCCCAATCCTATATCTTTCTCCATAGAGAAGTAAAGCCCCAATCCTATAACTGAACCTAGAGAAAGATCCCTGTTCTGAGTGACTTCTTTGCATTCCTGTCAGGATTTGATAGGAACAGTAAAGCACAGCTAAGGGTGGAGATGTTAAAATTCCTTTCATTCAGAGAGATGAAACTGCCCCACAAAATTTCTGACATGGAATTTTGAATGAAGGAAGAACATAGATGAAATGTCTATGGCATTTTGCAGGTGTTAAGGGCCATGGGATCCCATACCATGTGCATGTCATGTGAACTTGAACTCGCCTCATTTGCCTTGTTCCTCTGGGTCTTAGCTTGCCAGTTAACTAGTATAGAATTAGCATTGTTGTACAGTACTTTGTAGTGGAGAGAAAACAGAGAATCAGATTATGTTATTTTTGTAATGATGCTTCCATATCTGAACAAGGGCTCAAAAGCCTTGTACCAATTCTCTGCATCAGTATGGATTTCAGTCTAAATGATTATTTTAAAAATGAGGGGAAGACTATTTGGATTCCCAAATTCAATAACGATTTGTCACGGAAACCGTATTACCTTGCAGACTCATAAAACTTCGAAGTAATTTGCACTGTGTTCACTGCTGTACTTTTGCGGTACTGTGATGACATTCAGAGACATTTCACTTCTTATTTATGAACAGAACTTAATGTAAAACACTTACAGAAGTATTCCTGGTTCAGTAATTTACAATTACTAGAAAAACTTGATTTCCCTGTGGTATTAAGAGATAAATGAATCATCTGGAAAGATGGAAGTTTGAATATCAACTAGAGCCCACCATCAGTTACTGTGTCTCCCTATGGTTAAAGATTCTTTAAGCTTGTCTTTTCTGATAAGACATGGATCCAGATCTATTCTGAGATCCAGATTTTCTTCTCATGATGTTTACACACAGGCCATGTGCATGTGTGAACAGAGATTGAACCCTGGAGATCACCAGGCACAGCAATCAATCCAGCAGATTAGATGAGACCAGAAACGTCCCTGGATTCCAAGGCTAAGCGAAATGGAAAAAGCCACATTTATGCTAACAAAACTCCAAAACAGTTTTGTTGTCTACAAACTGCCTATTGTAGATGATCCCTAGACTACCTACCAAAACATATCTTGGAATTGTCCAGAAAGACTGCTAGCTGAAACAGTGCAAATTCAGGGCAGGGAATATCCTAACACTTTATTACTGTAAATTATAATATTCTCAGTTCCTGATATACTTGAATTTAGTAATACAGAGATGGCCAGAGAGCCTAAGCAAGCTCAGCACCATACTTTAGGTTAAATGCTTCAGATGTAACCGTCTATTGGCTTACATCTTGAGCTACACACAGTGTAAGAGCCTTGAGTCATTTACGTGAAACTGAAGTGATGAACGTGGATGGAAACAACGTAGGTCACAAGGCCTGCTTGTTTGCTGCATGCATAGTCTGTTTCTTGGCATTGTCATTTCTGATGTCGTTTCAATTGCATTGTCAATCCTATTATTCATCTGATAAGATAGGTTCTACAAATACTATGGATATACTCTTATTCAGGAACTGGACCTACCCTGCAATTCTGCCTGTCCTTGGACAAATCATCTGGGAAGACAATAGTACAAACAGGAACATGGAAGCTGAAGCTCAGAGAGAGAAAAAATGGAAGCCCAAATGACATATAAAACTGATGATTCTAAGTTGACTATGTAATTTAGTTGAATGAAGCCTTAGATACTTGTATTTCTCTAAATTTGCCAAGATTTTGATTTGATAAAACACTACTGTTGAAATTTTAAGGCATTACAACACTTGAAGTCTTACCGAATGGGGGTCATGCCTAAAGAAAGTAGTATTACAAACTTTCCAGTGATGAACGTTAATATGTGAAAATGTTATTGCTATTAAAACTTTTAATCTGTTCAGTCATGCATAATATAACTATAATCACTCCTGTTCAAGTGAAATAACACTTCTGCTCTTGGAAAAAAAGTTCTCCTTACTTTATTGCTCAGAGAATTTTATGGTGCTTTTTATTATTAAATCCAGACCAATTTTACCTAAGGAGCATAACAAAAAAGCTGTAGGAAATACCATTAATCTTTTCACACTTCTGTTGGTTTTCCCTCAGAGACTGAAATATTATAATCTAGCAGGAGAAAAGCCAATTGTTGAGTCTTCATTTTTGTTAATCCAACTCGTAAGCAATTCATGGTACATCTATAAATCCAAAATAATAAAGTAACTGGAGACTGACAAATTATTTTTGTGATAGCAAATGACTGTATATGTTAAAAATTATGATAAAGATTCTGAAATAACAAGAAGATATTGTTGACAAAAACCAATGTGATAGCCATGAAAGTGTTACTTAATGAAAATGGTGAAAACTTTGAGATTTAAATTTGAAAGTATATAGGCATTATATGTAATGTATATTTGAAAGCTGGTATCTTCTCATAAAGACAGGCTTGCTGAGTTCACCTACTCACATGAGGAGATGGAGGCTATTCTCAAGAGTATGGTAAGTATGACCTATTATGAGTAAAGGAACAAGAAGCAGAGTACCACAGACAAACTTTTTACTTTCTGCATTGAAACCTACGAAAGAAAAACATTTTTGAGTTCCATGGCAGCATGACTGGGGCCTGAACACTGCACAGAATGTCAGCTGTATTTTGGGGTCATCATCACTCAGGAAAATGAATTTATTTAAAACAGTTAAATATGCCTGTATATATGCTAGGAAATTATTTCTAAACAAGCTGTTCTCAATTAAACTACATACGCATCACTGCATATGTAAAAGCATAAATAACGTGGTTTCCTTGAAAAGACAGAAGTCTAGAGAAGATCATTTTTTGCTGACATTTAGGTTAATAATTCTGATCAGGTTGCAGTATAGACAGCAGAATCCAAATCAGTGTAATGTTACTTTCTAAACAATCAACCTGGTAATTAGGTATTGATTATCAAGGCCAGAGTCCTTCACGGCCTTGCCTGCTTAAAATGGACATGAAATGTGACACATGAAACGACTGAAGGTCTTGCGATGTTGTGACAACTGCTAGCAACATACCGAAAATTCTTCCTGAAACTTTAGGTTGTTGTTTGTGCAAAGCTCTTCAACATGTTGTAGGAAAGATTTCTTGCTTATTGGCCTGAAAGTAATGACAGAAGAATTAGAAACCTATAGGGAATTTCTTCGTCATTCTTTTTATTCTTATTTAACTGCAGTTTATTAATAAACAGTTTTTCAGTTCAAAGCAAAGGATACATATAGACAGAAAATTATAAATTGCTTACAGCATGCTTATTTGGTTTGTGTTCAGTCACTTAAAATAGAAGCATTTTCTCCCTCTGTTGTTCCCTCTCACCAAATTTTTAAGTTCTTAATGTGAACAATACTGTTGGGTAGGATTGTTTTATAGGTAACAGCATTCCAAGGTGAGGTTTTGACATTAATGTAAATCTGTAAAGTTATCATTGTATTCTAAAGTACATAATACTTCTTTGTCGCACAGAAAACATTTTATACCTTGCAAGGTTTTAGACATATAAAATATTGCAGTGACCTCATTCTCATAATGACATGGTTTTTAAACCCCAAGGAGTTTAAATATCCCTGTATTACTTCCCAAGCTAAAAGACAGACATGCAGGCTTCACCCCAGAGAGAGAGAAAGCATTTCTCCAGTTACCATGCAATTAGTCATGCTTTTATGATTTATACGCAGCTTGGAGTTTTTTTTCTAATAAACATAGAAGAGGGAACCACACATTGAGACTCACCGATGACCACAATACAAAAATCTTTAATCAACTTACTTGATGGATTTTCTATAACTAAGTAACCTGCAACAGAGATTTTTGTTAAATGTAGCACGTTGAGAGTTAACCAATATTGTGCATGTTAACTGCTTTTAGATGGAGTACTCAAGCAACTAAAGAACCAGAATTATGTCTCTCATGGATTCAAGTACTATTGTATATGAGATATCTTGCGTGATTGTCTTGCTTAGTTTTTATCTCAGGTATTGGCAGATATAGATACGGTAGTTACAGTTTCTGTTATTCTCTTCAGATCATTTTACAGTGCTCTGGGTTCATATGATCCTGGGAAATTCATACTTCCAGCACACCACTTCATATACATTGTCAGGCTTCAGTTTACACTATTCTTCTAAGGGGTATTTCAGAGCAAAAGGATAGGATTCATCCGACTGAATACAGACACCAATTTCTGAGCTAGTCACTCTAGATTCCTTTTGTAATCAATGAAGAGAAATAGGTGTGATTTAATCTCATTTTAAGCAGATATCTAAAGTAAGTCACAGGTGAACCATGCTATTGGTGTTCCTCTACAGAAACCAAAGAGCTATGTCTGTTTTTCTAAAGTTTTTCATGCTCGTTTTTACATATTCACTGGTCTTCCTGGTGCATGGTGATTTTAGAAACTGTGCTACACTTAAATCTTTATCTCGATCCCACAGCGGGTTTCCTTAAGATGTTACATGAGCATCTATACTCAGGGGACTTTCAGGTGGCCTTAAAACTTGGTCATCATTCTCGCCTCTGAACCCATTTTAAGAATGCCTCAGCATTATGGATTTAGAAGCCAAACCTTGAACACTCAGATGCACAGAGCTTATCTAAAAAACCCAGCCAAAAAGTTTGAAGTAACAGTTTGAAATATTTGCCTCTTAAAAAAAGTTCTAAGTATACCTTTTATGTGTCCATCTCTCCCAAATGCATACATTCTTACATACAAATATTACAAAAACTGTGCTATAGCACAAATATATCTGTCTACTGCTGCCATAATTTTAGAAAAGAAAATAATTTGCTTTAAACCAATTTGGTTTATGAAGTTAGTCTTAGATATTTGAATTTAATATTTAAAATAATATTTAGATATTTTAATTTGATAATAAAATGAGATTAATACAATTATTGAATTGCCTTTGTGGTACATACATTGTTATGACTGTTCTCTTTAACCAAAGCAATCTGGCTATGAAAGCCTTGGGTCAGTCTCACTGGAGTAAAAAGAATTGTAAGAATTCACAGAAAGAGGTTCAAACTCAAAGTGCTTTCTAGGACAACTGAAAGAGAGCTTTAGAATGAAAAAGAAGACAATAAGATGACAAAGCGTGCAACTCTGTTCAGAATGTTTAGACATCTAGCTAGTGCTTATTGTATCACTTATGTTGTTCATATCACGTGGCAGATGAAACTACCTTCTATTAATACAGGCAACATTACAGAGCTAAAGTTTCTTGCAGAAAAATGTATTCTTAAGAGCTGTGCCAATGTACTGCACACAAATAATAGATTTGTCTTTGGGCTGAAAGTAGGCTTTCTTTAGGCCTTTTTTCAGGACAAAATTATAAGCAGTCTCTGCAAAGAAATTACACTTGTGTTTCCTTTGAATTCACCTATCTTCCTCATAGACCAACAGAAAAAAGTCACCTCTCAGTGGACATCCCAGTAATGTTTTTAATACTGTTGGTTTTCCTCCTTTCAAACTGACAGCAATTAGGGTCTTACTGCTCCTAACTTTCAGTAAGCAAATGCAGTTTGGTCATTAGAGCATAAAAATTACATCTATGCTGTGCATAAGCAACCTGAGTATGTCATTTAGTACTTCAGTGCTGAAGGTACACGGATCCAACAACAAAGACCAGAGGAGACAAGCAGCACCATCAGCACCACCTTACTCAACAACGTTTCCTTGTTTTACTTTCACTCAAAGCAGGGAAGTAAAATTCATTTTTAATAACAGGTGATTTTTATAGCATAATCATGTATTATCTTTCACAAGCAGTAAACACTTTTAAACAAGTAAGGCACCTACAGGTTGATTGACACTTTAACCTATCTGTGGGCATTTAAGTGAAGAACTTGATTTTTAGAACTACTGAACCCTCACACTTCTGTGGGTAGCAAGTGCATACTGCAGTGGCTGGGCAGCTCAGAAAATCAGATGTTTTAATTTAAGTGCTTATATGAGAATTAATGTCTAATGAAGACTGTGGCAAAGATGTTGGCTTTGTTGTGTAAGAAACTTCAGAAGGGATGAATTTTGTATGCTCACTAAACACAGCTCTGCTCAGTTTTAGCATGCTCAGGCTTCAAAAAGTAGTATTTTTTTCTGTCTCTTGACTTGGAATATGCAACAAAAATCTTATGGTATTCATCAATAAACAAATACTCTACCTCTAATCTGGTTCTCTACATTTCCCAGTCCTCTGTATAAAACATAAGAATATAGATATCACTAGATTTTGATGAGTACAATTTAGAATCAAACCATGAAGTTGAAAATTTCCCTATTTCAGCTGGACAATTCCGGATTCCCGCTTGTCTGACTTTGAAACTAGGAAAGAAAAACATTCGCTAAGATAAAGAATGCTTTATTGCCTTAAATCTGATTTTCTTTTAAAACAGTGTATTGTTTCATGTGTGGGATTTTTTTGAGGTCTATCAAAAATCTGAATCCCACTCAGATTACTTATGATAGAGCTAGAAAGAAGCCATTTATTTGTGTTGGCAGTGGTAACTGAAGACCATATTGTCACACAGACTCGGCTTTCTCTCTGGGTCAATCATCTGAAATCCATGGGGAATTAAAACTTTGTCCAAATAGAAAACAACAGAAATGAGTATGTAGGCAAAAGGCTTAACTCATAAGCACCATTGACACTTCCTAGGAACAACGGAGGAACTAATTTTTAGCAAGTTAATTGAAAGCAATATGGAGCTTAACCCTTCCTAAATAGTAAAGGCCTAAGCAAAGAGAACACATGGCCATTTCTTCCATTCTACCAGGACCTGTACATTCATAAACCTGTGCTCCTGGGATACAAAGCTAAGTAAGCCTATTTTTGATTGTTGATTACTAAAATGAAAGCTACTGAAGAAAAAGGCAAGGCAAGAGTCATGCCTATTGCCACTCAAAGAAGAAGAAACAGGATAGTCTAGAGAAAGTAATGTGTGTGCAGAATGTTACCGCAAATATAAACACCTACTGAATGCACAATATATAGGAAAGGTTAGGTCAAATGGTAATGTTATATACCGTATTTTTCCATAAAGAGTTCTAGTTACCTGGCAAGGGTTACAGTCTCTGTAATTCAGAAATGTTTCTTCTGAATCTGTGCCCCATTTTCTTGACAAGGTGTTTCACATAGTGTGAAACAAAAGCCTCAAAGCATCCACCACAAGGTGCAACTGCTCAAGAGAAGATTTTAAGAAACAGGAACCTACATGGCTTTATCCTTGCTGCAGAAACCACTGCAAAAGTAGGATGTCAGAAAATTTGTCTCCTAGGTGAGCAGCTGGAACAGGGAAGCATTAGTTGTTTCTCGCCTGGTGCGGCCTGAAAATTCAGTGACACAATCTATTCACAGCAGATGAGTGTCTGCTTTGAAAAGTGACTTGCCAAACCCTAGGGACATGTTACAAAAAGTAAGAGATGAGAGGCCCCAGTACATGTATATTCAGTGTGCTCAATGAACTAATAACCATACATGTTATAAACAAGAGTTGCTTTTTTCTGTTATTGCCTGTCTCATACTAGTTCCACCATCGTGGAGGTCAGTGTATGTCCCAAACATTCAAAGCCAGCGTTCTGGCTTCATAAAGCAGACCTCATTTTCTACTGAATTCAGTAGGACTTACTTCCCTGCATGGCCTCTGAAATTATATCCCATTAGTTAATTGTCTAACAAACACTCACTGAGGATGGTGCATGTGTATTAGCCAGTATTAGGAATTTTCAGACACTGAAGTTTTAATTTTTTTTCCTGATGACCACTTGTAATGGGTTTGCATGATGAGCTTTCAGTAGCTGGGGTGGCTACATGGGGGGCTTCAGTGAGAAGCTGCTGGAAATTTCCCCCATGTCCAACAGAGCCAATGTCAGCTGGCTCCAAGATGGACCCACCGCTGGCCAAGGCTGAGCCCATCAGCAACAGTGGTAGTGCCTCTGGGGTAATAGATTTAAGAAGGGAAAAAATTAACTGCATGGCAACCACTGGAGAGAAGAGTGAGCATATGTGAGAGGAACAGCTCTGCAGACACCCAAGTCAGCGGAGAAGGAGGTGCTCCAGACACCAGAGCAGAGACTCCCCATCAGCCCATGGTGAGGCCGGCTGTGCCCCTGCAGCCATGGAGGGTCACGGGGGAGCAGAGACCCACATGCACCTGGGGACCCCATGCTGGAGCAGGGGGATGCCCGAAGGCAGCTGTGACACTGTGGGCAGCCTGCACTGGAGCAGGCGCCTGGCAGGAGCTGTGGCCCAGTGGGGAGAGGAGCCCAGGCTGGAGCAGGTTTGCTGGCAGGGCTTGTGACCCCGGGAGGACCCAGGTTGGAGCAGGCTGCTCCTGAGGACTGCACCCCATGGGAGAGACCCACGCCAGAGCAGTTCATGAAGAACTGCAGCCTGTGTTAGAGAAGTTTATGAAGGACTGTCTCCCATGGGAGGAACCCCATGCTGGAGCACGGTTATGTTAAAAAATGACTACTGGGAACTGGGATTTGATATGAATTACCTGGTCTGAAAAAAAACATTGACCCCTTAAAAGTTTCAAAATTGGCAAAATGGGATGCTTGGTACTTTTAAATTTGACTTTTTTTTTTTTTTTTAAACTTAAACTGACTCTGAATGATAAGGACAATGCAAGAAATGGGACTGTAATTGACTTCTGCATCACTATTCTCCAAAGGCAACAGGTACAAAAGTTCTTTTGTGGTGTAACTGTGGAAGTCTCAAAACAGGCAGCAAAATATTTTAGACATTAGGTTTTGTGGTAAGCTGCCTTGGTGCACACAGCCATCCTGCCAGCTGCTTGATATAACTCATCACTAATAGGAAGGATGTATCTATGTGAAAGACAGCATTAGAGGCACTTAAAATGCCTCTTTTGGCCACTGACATTACCAGAACAGAATCTTACACATATTGAAACATTCTTTACAACTTAAAAGAAAAGCTGTATTAAATGAAATCTTTGAGCAGATAAAGGATATCCTGCCCCTCGTTGCTATATGTATGTTACCTAGTAGGTAACATACATATAGTATACTATATGGTCCAGGTCCTACAGTATATTTACTGGCTTCCAGTTGAAAAGATGGCATTAATGGTCTCCTGAGGAAATCTCAGTGCCTACACTTCAAATTTCAACAACTTGTCACAATATCCAACAAAGGACCTGTCCAAGGAGCCTGCTGTAGCTACACTGCAGCAACTGTTTGCAAAACAGTAATTCAAAATATAACAACTGCACCATGTACCTTACAAGAATAGCAGAGGAGAGTCTTTGCTTTTGGCCATTAAAGGAGTGGGGAAGAAGGAAAGAGAAATATACAGATGGAAGGACAAGACAAACTGCAAACCAAAATGTGAAACCAACATTAAAATAAGGGTGATGTCACTAAAACTGCTGAAGCACTGTTCAGTAAAGGCTTTGCTGTGTACAAATCACAGAATGAAGTGCAAGTAAGTATGAAATATTATAGTTTGCAATTCCCCTGTAGAGTTTGTGACTGTACAAATCTGAACTACGCATAATTTAGACAGAAAAGTGGCAGAAGAGTAGTCTGCAAACTGAAAAAGGATTTGATTGTGTGGATACGTTGCTGAGATTGTGGTGGTGTAGTACAAAACAGCTGCAGTGTGAGTACAATAGGCAGTTGAGAAAAAATGCAACTTCTCTTATGTACATACATTCTAGCTGCCAAAGGAAAGAAACAGCATCTTTCTTATGTCACATTTGCACTACCTTTGCTTCAAGGACAGGTTGTATATATTAGTGCTATGTTGTCATAATGTGTTACAACCTCCATGTAAAAATTGCCCTGATTTATTTCAAAATAGGGGTGGAACTGTTGTACCTTAACATTAGGGACTAAAAATAAATATGATTTCATGATGACAAATACCACTGTTTGTCATAAGTATAGCTGTGACGACTGAGCTCATTTTGACTAAATATATATCACTCAGTACAGTACAGTAGCACACAGGTTAAGAGGACAGAATGGAAAACACACCATGTTGCTTCAAAATTAGAAAAACTTACTGGATGACAAATATCTCCTTGCGTCTAAAGAAAAATGAAGAGTATCTGGAAGTAAAATCCATTAACATTTTAGTATATAAACAAAACCAGTGCTATTCTTATTCAGCTAACAGTTTGGAAACATGGCCATTTTAAAGATCCATCAAGATCATTTATACAGGTCATGGTTATCACAGTGCATTGGCAATGGTTCTGTCTTCAGAGAATGTTTTCCACTGTTATTAGCAGGTAATAAACAATTCTATCTGAGTGACATGTGCCCCACACAGAACATACCACATCCATTACACCGATGATTTCCAGATGATGCATACTATGATTTCTCATCTGTTACAAGCAGCCATTCCTGTGTGCACTGTTTTGAACAGGTTTGTACACGCAATCAACTCACTCTGTACCACACACATAGACATATACACATTCAAACAAAACAGGTCAACAGCTATAACCTTTCATCTCTCAGCTATTCCTAGTCCTCAACAGTAGGATGCCTGACTGCTAGGGCAAGACTATTTTAGGCTTCTCATCTTTACGGAGACTGCCTACCACAGTGTTTCATCTGTGACACAGCAGGGAAAATACAGGCAGGTAAAGAATGTTCACCAAACATTTCTAATGCAGTTGAATGCCATCTAATATTGAGAATCATCATTATATTTATTCAGTGAATAATACCCATGTTTCTGGCAGTCAGAAAGAGCAGTTTTCCTTCTGATAAACATCTGTGATAATATTCTTGGTCGGAAAAAAAAATGAATAGCCTGGAATTTCTGCATACACCTTAATGGAGTAGATGTCAGGATAGCCAATGTGCTGAGCTCCAGAGAAACCCAGATGTTACGCAAATCCTTTTGTGAAAACAACGCTTTTTTAAGTGTCAATTAAACAATGGCAGATTTGTTCTTCAATCAGAAGTCCAGGACTTCTGGAAGTTTTCCTCTTTCAAACTGCCTCTGCAGGTTTGAAAAAACACTGGGCCATCAAAAATACTCAGAAAATCTGCACGTTAAAAATATGTAGCCCCTTTTTTGCTAAGACAATTACACAGTGATTTGTACTTAGATCTTTATCTTGTTGTAAAAAGAGCTGAAGATTAAGTGATTTTCTAAAAGCTAGTGAGAAGTGTCTCGAGGATGGAGGTCATTCTTTGAAAGAGGATCTCAGTGACCTGTGTAAATAAGAGCACCACAAACACTTCCAAACAAGCAAAGGTCAGAAAGGGGTCACGGCTACAGCCCCTTTGGACTACTGTTTTGCCTAAGGAGTACGCTTACCGTGTAAATCTCTCATCCTTCAGCTCCAGGTCTGCCACTGTGATCAACTGATCCAGTTTAAACTTAGTGTCAATAATTTCAGCATCTCGTGGGGAGTATGTGCCTCCCTCTTTTTGCTTTTGCCGAATCCTAAGCAGAAAATAATAGCGAAAAATAAACATGCGGTAGATTTAAGGACACATTATGTCAATATTTGATTAGACAGGCTGAAACTGAAAAACGGTTGCCAGGAATCCTTCCTTGGCCTTTATTTGCTTCTCCCCTCAAGCAGTGTAATTTCATTGAATTTGGCAGTTGTGTTGTCTAAAATTCATGTGGAGAAAAAATCTAGCCTATATATTCTCCCGGTTTTCCTACATAAATTCTTCAGCAATGCCTGAATGATGTAGCTTAGGAAGAACAGGACTTTTGGCAGTTTGTTTACAATTTGAATTAGAAATCGATTTCTGTTTCACATGTGAGACTTAGATGTATTTAACAGATGTATTTATTCGTAAGATGGAAAACAAGGCTTGGAATATTAATATCATAACTAGCTGTCAATAGGGTTAGCCATCATGCCAACTTCAGCCAGCTGACACTGATCTGTATCCTCTAGTAAGTAGAGTAGTGGGTCTGAAAGGGTAGATAGGCTACTTGTCTGATTTACACCCTGGAGACGCTGGTTTTACTCCCTCACCTATGGAGGTTACCCTCACTAGACAAAAGCTAGCCTTTGTGAGTCCCTCCTTAAATTTCTACAAAAAATACAAAAACAACAACAAAAGAAAATGCAATACATTGTGAAATGACAGATTGGTTCCCTTTATAGGACTGTTTCAACTCTTCTTTAAAACATTTTTGAGTGGTTGCAAACATGGTATGGCAAGGATACATAAATCTCACCTTGCAAAAGCATATACAGCAGCCACCAAAAGAACAACTGAAAGTATACACAAAGTAACAGCAAGGATAACTTCTACAGATCTTTCTGACAGTCCTTCACCTGCAACAGAAAGTGGAAATATAATATTTCATGGATTCATTAAAATTTTTACATTTCTGACAGGGTGAAATCAGGGAGCGATGACACACTGTACAGCTCTACAACTGCATCCATTTTGTCTTAGTCGAAGAGGTGCTCAGGAAAGAAAAATATAACAAACCCAGAAACAATTTACATGAAGGTTCCTGAGCATTGCTGATTATGTAGCACACAATGCTAATAGTATATGTCTACAGCTGTATATGCAGCCATCTCCTGGTGCTTATCAGTTTTACCTGCTAAACAGGACAAGGTAAGCCTGCATGCAGTAACGTCAGTCTGAACACCAGCCTGAGCTGAGCTCCTGCCTCAGCCTCTGCGCAGCCAAGGACAGACACACTGCTCGATCAGCTTGGAGCAAACAAACTCCAGGAGTGGAAAAGGAAGAGCCACAGCTCTAAAGCAATGAGGCTTGCAGCTGTCACTCACAGGCACAACATAAAAGATGCTTTTTTGGAGGTACTCTCCTCAGGGTGCTGAAGGAACCCTCCTAGCAACTGGATCTGAACCTTCTGGATTCATATCCCTCACTCACCGTTAGCTCATGCTCTTTATTTATGTGAGAACTGGTGATACTTTTAGGAATAACTACCAGCAGGTCAAAAGTAATCATAAAGACCTTTATGATAAAAAAGTGAAGGTGCTGGTATTCTCATCAGTCCTTCCAGGTGAGAATGAAAGCTCAGTCAGAGACTCATAAACCATTTAGATTAGTAGTTTCTAGACCTCTTTTTGAACCTCTCTGTTGCTAAATTTCTGAGACTCATTTACTTTCCCACCCTTCCTGGTAATCCTGTCCCTATCTCAAAAACCTCAGGCTCTTTTTTCCTTAGGGGGACAGAGAAAATAAGAAAGGCAAGGGATTACAGCTGCTGGTATTGTTCACCTATGCTGACATTCACCTCCACTTGCTGATCCACTGCAGAAAACCTAGCGATTGTCCAGCCTCCAGGAAGGACAGAAAAATGTACTGCTTCCTGCCATATGAAACTGAGATTTCCCACTCAATGGACAACATCCTCCCAAGGACACACTGGTAAACTCTGAAGTCCTAGCTTTGCTTCTCTCAAAAGGCTATGATTTTTGGATTAGAGAGTATATTGCAGACGATCTGGACTGCATGTACATTGGACAACATGCTTAAAATTCAGAATGATCCTGATTTAGCTGAAGAAATCATCTTAAAACAGTAGGTTGCATTTCTGTAAGATCAAGGGCATGGTTCTACACGTAGGCAGGAATAATCATCTATAATACTACAGCACAGTAAACAGTAGGTCACGTAGAAATTTATCGGAAGAAAGTATAATATTATTGTAGACCAAAACCAGCATGAATAAGCAATGTCATGCCTGTATGAAACGTTAGACAACAGAATTAAGTACAGTTTAAAACCACCTTAAATAATTCTCCCACTGCATTGGTAAAGCTTCAGATTCAACACTGGACACTACAGGGTAGGGCCTTGTAGGACTTCACAATTTAGGCCAGGGAAAGAAAATAGAAAAGCAGGCATATAAAAAATGTTGTAAGGAGAAAATGAATGAAAAAGTCACTGCCACCCAGTGAGCTGTGTGATGAGGCACTAATGTTAGTAATCTGGAAGAACAGAAAAATCTCCACAGAAACCTCTACAACAGTTCTATTTTGCACTGAAAAGTGACGTCAGTGTTAAAATCTACAATTAACATCCATCCAAACATTGCTGATATTATTAAACAAAACAGTGTTGGTAGGATAACCACCAAGAATAAAAATTACATTTCCTACTACTACTTCGCAAGAGGGAACACACATCTGTAGAGATGATCATTGGCAAGGAAAAGGAGGTAGAAGAGAAGATATCACATATAATTCTCAGGTACTGCAACTCAATACATGATGATAACAAACTGCAATAGTAGAATATCATAAGGTAGGTTTCTGTGCAAAGGGCAGTGTCATTTGGATTATTTCCTGTCTCATGACTTTGTGTTTCACATGGAAAAAACCTACACATACACAAGACTATCAGCTGCCCTGTAATGATTTGCTAAATCAGAGTTTATGAAAAGGTTATAAGCTTCTTTGATGTATTAGCAGTTTAAAGAGTATTTGTCACCACGTTAATTATCTAGTAAAAAAATTCTGACCTTTCATTGTTGTAAGAATGTAACTTTTGCAATGTCAGTCATGAGTTATGAGGAAGAAACCCCACTTCTCCAGCTCAAGAGAAGAGCTGTGGTATGCCAAGTATGGTTGAGTGGGAAAGACATATTAAAATGTATCCTTTACTGTAATTAAAAAAGCATTATTGTAGCTGTGTATTCCAATCGTTTCTGCTTCGGTGTTCCTCACTAGAAAAATTCCTGTTGTTTAACAAGAGCATCAGACGTCTGCCACAGAGAACTCTCTCATAGGTTCCTGTATTTTTTTCTGCTTTAAACATATTTAACATGCAGTATTAAATTGCACAGATGCAAGGTTAGGTTTATGGTTTTCCAGATCAAAGACCTACCTGTTCTATAAGTGGACTTACAAACCAGAATAACGTTGGGTTCTTTGAACTGTCATGAATACCTCTGCCAAAATTTAAATTAAAGTTTTATCTACTAAAATGAAAGTGTAATGTTGGAAAATCAGTGATTATTACAAAATAAGACAATTGATTTAAAATTAAATTGCAATTCTGATTTCAGGCAGAATGAATTTCTTCTAAAATGATGCTGTTGTTACAAGTGGAAGAGATCACAGAAATACCTAACAGCTACTGATCTTTCTGGTATGTTTTGTGGGTTGTGCTTCTAGAGCAAGTCTGAAGTTCATATAACCAAAGCATGTTCTGTAAGGAAACACTTGGGCAAGGTTCCTCCGGTTGTGTGTCTCAAGAGAAAATGTGTCCGGGGAAAAAAAAAAAAATCTAACTTCCTTTATTCACTGAAGATACATTGGTAATGGCATTGCCAGTGCTGTATCGTCAAGGCCACTCAACTGCAGTACCTGCCTCACTTGTGATATATCAATTTTACGTTGATTTCACAACACTTGTAAGAAAGCAGAGAAGGAAGGAACTTACCTGTTCCATTTAAGTTTTGTTTCTTGTTGGATGAACTCTGAAATGTAGAAGTTAAGGCCAGACAAGAGTTTGCTATTGTGTCCATTTTAAAAGCAGTGCTTGATGTTAAACTAAATGGTAAAATCTAGCACAGAAGTCACTGGGTGGGTATGAGGAAGCATGGATAACTGAGGAATTTATCAGATCTATTTCTTTTCCTATTACATTTTATTCAGAGTAAACAAAGAGATCTTGCTTCTTTATGATCTACACCAAAGGAAAACATGCCACAAGTGTTCAGTAACAGTACAGAAGTGAATGAATTACACTATCTGTCTGCTCCTTAGCGCATGATTTCTTTAAGCACTGCAGACTTTTCTATTAGAAAGGAGAAAGTTGCCCAGAGGATTGGATACAATTGAACTAATTTCCAGTAGTCTTGTTTTCCCTGATTGGACACACTGTCTTTCTGTCACTGGGCAAACTACTTGCTTCAGTGTCTTAGAACTTTTAAACACAGAACATATAGAAAAACTCTTTTGTGTTGCACGTTCCAAAACATTCAGGGCTAGAGAAATAGTGCCAGATCCTTCCAGAATATTCAGGTAGTGAATTAGCATTTCAGGATCTTCAGTATCAGATCATGTAACAAATTTCTAACATGGATTAGATGAATAAGGGAGCTTATATCACAGAAGATGAATGTCAAGTGAAAAATATGTGCCCACTAAAATTCTTCTGGGTACTCATCCAGTTGTCTTGGGATCCCTTTTCAGAAAGTCAGGGCTAATGCTCAGCTAAGAAAGTTTTAGCTTACCAATATATTAAAAGAACTTACAGATCTTATTGTGATCTACTACAAGAGTTTTCATTCCCAATTTTGGGAGTAGATCAACACTGCCATGGAAGAATTTTTGCTGGATTTGGGATCCCATAATATCTGGCCTATTGGTCAGTGATATCACAACCAGAGGAGTTCTATTAGGCAATATTAATTTTTTTTTGTCTGTATCTAAAGGATGAAGGATTAAGGAGTCATGTCCTCGGATGAGCTGCCACTAGGAGGAATGAGCTGCAGCCAAGAGATTTCCTACACTAGGCTCATTGGGATAGATCTACACTGAACACAGAGGGAAACTGCATACAGTATAGCTTCTGGCAGTTGACCAAGAAAGATGAGCTATCCTGGCCAAATTATATTTTTATTGGTATAACTGAATTTCTGCTAACAAACTTTGTCAGTACTGCTTCTTCATTTAACAGTCCAGGCTGAGGTAAGACCTCTTGATGACCTCAAAAGGACCTACAAGGGAATGGATATGTTTCTTTAGCCATTCTGGTTAAGCTAGGTCCAACAAAAATAGAGATTTTTTGCTTCAGAGAAACCACTCTACTAAAAAAAAACCCAAAAAACCAAAACCCATGGAATTGTCTAATTTTCTGGAAATAAGAAATACTTTAATAAATAACACTCTTCTTACCTAAAGTTTTGACAGGGTCAGAATAGTCAGAATCTGTAAACTGTCCTTTAACGTTAGTTGCTCTGAACTTAAACCTGTGAAATAAAACCAAGAAAACTAATGAAATGAAAGTTTATATACATTTTTTTAATATTATTTCACTTAGAAACGAAAAACTATTTTTCAGTTTTAGTATGAAGCAAGCTGGAACCACTATTCACTTGCCAAAGTGACGTTAGGACAGACATCAAGGACTCAGTTTCAATATGTCAAATGTATAATCAAACTATATGAAATATCTATATTGGATATGGGCTTATTTAATTTAGGAACTCATTAAGCATTTTTTGTTACTTGAAACATTTAAAAAAAAATCATCTCCCACATATATGCTTACCCAAAAAATTTAGAGACACATGAAGATCATGTCAATCTCCACCTTTTCATAATTGAACCACGTTTTGCATGTTTGTATAAATGTATATTTCACTTGAATTTTTCTCTTGGACAAACATAGAGACAAATGTACTTACAGGTACTGCTTTCGTGGTTTCAATGGGCCATTACATATTTTGTCTTGACTGCCTGGTATCATACATGTACTATCAGCACCTATAACATATATCTCTTCTTTGCCACTCAGATCTTCTTTTCCTTCTATACATGGTGGGTTTGGAAAGCCTTCATTTGTAAAATACAGCCTTGGTCTGTTGAAGTAGGCATCATACCACTTAGTAACGTTCCCATCATGTTGAGCTATTGTCAAGAAGAAAAATAATCAGAAACAATTTACATGCTAACTAGACTCTAATTAAAGAACTTAAATAGGAAATTAATTTTTCTAAGACCTTAGCATGCTACTGGTGCCATTTACACAACTAAGTCCATAACAGTATTTGCCCTTGAATCCAAATTTCCTTATTATCCACACTATATATATTTTGCTAATTCAGAGTAATTCAGCTGAATCACAACTAGAAAATTTCAGGGGCAGTCTCACACATTACCTCTGCCTGTAGAGGATAACCCTTGTGCAAGCTACTTGACGTTTAAACTGAGCCTGGCTAGCAAAGACAGTTAAAAGTGCTTACTCAAAAGACAGTAAAGATGGTTTCATAAATGAAATAATTAGTAAATTTCCATAAGTGGCTGGTACTCAGCAACTCAGGAGAAAAATCTTCAAAATGTTGCTTAACATGATATTTGCATATCTATCGGTTCAAGAGAATCCTCACAGCAATAGCTAGGAGGCAAATGTCTGTAGAATTAGTGTTAAAATGCAAAATTCAGTAAAAGGTGAGAGATTTCGCATTAAGTGAATTCACATTACTTCTATACTTTAAAAGATAGCAAAACAAGGGAATTAAATACCCGGAATTTGTTCTTCTTAGGTAATGTAAGCCTGACCATATGATGTGCTAACATGAAACTCCCACTCCCACTGGTATGCAAGTACTCCAAAGAGTATCATGGCACTGGTCTTGCGAGTAAATGTTCTTCAGTCCATACAAGGGAATACACATTCTAACCCACAGTCTACAGGAGGGGCAATATAAATCCCCCTCTGCCCCCGTTATGAAATGGAAATATCAACTGCACATGACTGCATTCTTTTACAGGCAACACTAACAGCAACAGAAGAAAAACCTTGCAAAAAAAAGTTTCAGATATATTCATAAATGCCTTTCATAAATGCCAAACTTATTTTTTTCAAGGCAATAGGATATCAAGAAAATGTAATTATAACAATAGGGTCAGAATAATATTGGTGACTTCAAGCAGCATGGATGACTCTTTGTTGTCAAATGTTTCCAAAAGTCAGTACCCAGCCCATAGGTCCTGTGCAAGATATTTTGCTCTTAGTACTGTTGCCACAGCTAAAGTGATTTTATTAGCTGTTCTCGAATGTGAAATTACTGAGACCCAAGAAAATAAATAAAAAGGCAAAAACCAAACTGCCTGAAAGTAAAGAAATAAAAAAACTTGAAAGCAATTTTCAAGAGAACTTATGAAATTCTACCTCCAGCTTCCACAACAAGAACTTGTATCTTCTTGATAGGGCCATGATCATCACTGTAATAACATATTGGCATTCTGATCGTAATTGTTGTGGCTGTGACGAGTAGTGCCCCATTGGTATCATAAACTGGTGTTGGTTTCTTTTTAGGCCGTGGTGGTTCTATTTTTAAACAAAGATATACCACACAGTTTTGGTTTAAAATGTTTTCACTACAAGTACTTTGTTCAGGCACATATCTGTGTTATACAAGACAAATCTCAGCATATTTTCAGGGTGAACTTAATGTTCTACTTAATGCCTTAAGCCTCCAAAACCTGTATTCTGATAAATGCATCTACATATCAGTTTTCAGTTAAAAGAGAAAACAATAAAGAGACTGAGTCTTAGTTTTTCAGTGAATTTCAATCAATGACTATTTATTTCCACAACTGTGATACTATTATGCTTAGCTATACTCCTGTGATATTCTTCTAAGCTGTTTGCTGATGGTAACTAAAATACTGAGTCAATGTGACTACTTCACTGAGTCTGCACATGGTTTGCAATATCATTCAGATATGAATAGCAAATCATCAGCTATATGCAGCAAAATCAAGCACTGAGATTCAAGGCTGTCAGTCATGTGTTTCTGTCCTATATTATGTGGCTTTTAAATAGCAGACAAGGGCACAAAGCTGTGTACTCATAGGTAGAACAGCAAGTTTTTCAGCATTTACAGAGATTTCAGCTAAAGGGCACTTTATGAGACATACCTTTGATATCCATGGTTATTTTTAATTGAATTTTTGGACCTGCACCAGCACCATTAATTGCATACACCTTGAAAAAAAGGAAACACTTATTTTAATGAGTATTTGTAATAGCTTCAAATTGGCCAAATCTGCATATATTTGAAGTAACAATGTATGCTGAAACACTCCTTATGTCATTCAAACTTTTCTAGAACTTCCTTCCCATTTCTTTACAGTAACACAGCATCGCTGGTCTTGTAGCTCTTACAAAAGGAGAAATCCAAGCACACTTAAATAGTGATAGCCCGTCCTCTCACATCCCACTCTCTGATCATCTGAAAGGGCTTTATGCACATACTTCTAGTAAGCTCCCACTGCAGAACTGGACCTTTCATCTGAGCCAAATGAATAATGCAAGTGCTAATTTAAGAGAGAAATATAGTCCTGTACCTGTGACAGTGTGTCACAGGCTGCTTTCCTAGTACATGAACCAGTGGTCCAGAGTGCAAAGTTAACCAGTAGTGATGTGTCCTGCTCCCACTCACTCCACCCTCTTCATTGCTGCCCTCGTTCCTCAGACTTGTCTCTCTTGACACCCCAGCTAACATTCGTGGCATGAAAATCTCATATTCAGCCTAGGCTTGTGTTCCCTGTTCAGAGTAATTTCTCACTCATATCAAAGCAAAAATCCAAAGGATCAGTTCTTACGCTGACATTGTAGGTATGTCCCCCTTTTAGTCCTTCTATCATTGCAGTGACTGACTGATCTGTTTTATCAATGACACTAAGGTTGTGGATCCGGATGGCAGCGGGGTCATCTTCATTGTACACCATGGCTTGATACACCTGAATATTTCCATTTGGTTCAGATGGTGGCACAAAAGTTACTTGGAACTTTGTTACTTCATCTGGTATCTTCTGAAACGTTATGTTGTTGGGTGGGTCTTCAGGCACTGAAATAAATATTTTAATGATCCACTTAATCAGTTCACTGCTATTACTATTAGAGTAAAGCCTGAAAAATTACAAGTTATATTTTTGTATATCAGCATTATTTCATTGGTATTTTCTGTTTTTATTAAAAACATCTCAAATAATTATTACATATGTAAATATTTATAAAGGCAATAAAAAGTTGAATATTTAGTGAAAAACAATTCTTAATGGCAGAATCTAATGCCACACTTATTAAAAGTAACGATTAGATAACCTTCACTAGTCTCTACTCAGAAAAGTTTCTTCTTATTTTCTACTCAGAGACCCTGAAGGTATCATTATACCTCGAAATATATTCAGTGTAATCAAATCCTTGCAGGGACTGACAAGCAAGAAGTAAGTGTTAGTCTTGAGTATCCCTTTCTGAAAGCTCTCTGTCAACAGTAAGATCCCTCGCAACATATAAACAAGCCACCGTGCTCTAAGAGTCTCTGCTTATCACAGATAAGTCTTTAGGAAAAAAACTTTCCTCTAGCTGATGCCCAGACACAAACACAACATGCATTTTTCCAAAAGACAGTTCTGTCAAATGCTTATTCCAGTAGCTCATTCTCATGACAGCAACAGTGTAAATCATTTGCCCAATGTCCCTCTCTGAAAGAAATGGCTGTAACATTCTTTTCAGGCAGCTAAATATTTATTGTTCTACCTGAGCAGACAAGTATGTAGCATGACCTCTAAAAAGTGAAATCAAGCAACTGAAGGTAAACACATTCCCTCAGCCGAGGATTTAGATGCAGTTGTCATATCTTCCAGGTTTTTTACACCAGCCTACAAATGCTTACTCAGGCTTCTCTGGAGTACGTCTGTGTAAACTGGTCCTAACTCAGTCATATGCTAGACTGTACAAACCAGATGAGACAAGAGGAGATGGAAAAAATAACTGGTTTTGTCTAAGGTGACTGCACCCCCTAATTTATCAGAGTTGTAAATAAGACAAAGGGCTACCAAAAAGGATAGCTCAAAGAACAGACCCAGCTACTACCTAATTTAATCTTCTCTCATTTTTCCACAGTAAAAAGCTGTATCAGCATCCAGGGATATAAACAGCTCATGAAAACCTTAGTATTTAATGTATTAAAGGCATTAGAAAGATACATATATACACACATATACATACACTCATATCATATCATAAGGGACATTGGATTTTCGTACATCAAAGGAAAGATAAATGATCAGTACAATAAGTGTGTGATATGTCTAGATCTGAAATTAACCTGAGTATATAGCTAAAAAAGCTGACCTGCAGCTAACCTCACTAGAGATAAAGCAATTGTCATTTATACACAGTTGATAATTACTTTAAATGAAACAAAACTTCAGTAACTTTTCAGAAAATATTTTTTTGTTTGTTTGTTTAAATATCCTTTGTGAACAATTCTAAACCAGCAAAGATAGTAGACAGAGCATAATCAGGAACTATGTAGTAGAGCTAGGACTATATCTTCCCCATGTACATCTGTTTATATTTTCCTAAGCAAATACTATCTACTTTTCTGTAATGTAGCCTCTTGGCGTCATGAGGTCCTTACACAGTACCTCACTTTCATCTCTGGTTCTCTGAGTAACTTAATACCATCAGCAACTTTTGTCACCTTAGTATCCACCTCATTCTCCAGATAGTTTTGAATCTGTGGAACAGCTGATTCAAGCTCAGATCCCTATGGGCCTTCACTAGCAACCTCCTTCCACTGAGAACAGACGGTCTGTGTTCTAAAGTCCAGTACAGGTATCATTTCAAAATGGTAGGATTCACCTCATTAAAGTTTTATGTTTAAATTTTGCTTCAAGACCAAAGATGTTCTAT